GAGGCTGCAAAGACAGAAGTACAGTAGGGAGATGGAACATAAGAAGCAATATGGAAAAACTCAACACAGTGAAAGGTGAAATGAATTAACTATAGATTGACATCATAGGCACCAGTAAATTGAGATGGCCTGGAATTGGACACTTTCAGTCAGAAGGTCACATTGGGACATGAAAATGAAGAACAGCACGCTTTCATACTCAGAAACGATATAGCAAAGGTATATTGGTACCTTTTGGTAAAGGTAAACTTTGTTACAATGCAATCAATGACCAAATAATTTAAATTTGACTTTGCAGTCAACCGTTTAATATGCTGGTAACTCAAATTTATACTCTAATCACTGATGCCCAGGAAAAGGAAGTTGACAATTGTTATGGTCAAGTTCAATCTGAAATTGACAAAACTTGCAAGCAATATGTATGCATGGACATAGGTGGATTGTTTTCCTTGCCAAGAAAGCAGAAATAAAGCAGGAGATGGAGTTAACAGTTTCCGCAAATCCAAAGATTTCTTCATTACTAGTAAAATCTTCCATCAGCCAAAATTAGGTTTATACTGTATGCAGGGATATCACTAGATCATACAGGTAGTCCTTGACTTACAACAGTTTGTTTAGTAACCGTTTGAAGTTACAATGGCACTGAAAAAAAGGGACTTATGACCACTTTTCACACTTATGACCATTGCAACATCCCCATGGTCTTGTGATCAAATTCAGATGCTTGGCAACTGGCTCATATTTATATCGGTTGCAGTGTCCCAGGGTCATGTGATCACCTTTTGCGACCTTCTGACAAGCAAAGTCAATGGGGAAGCCAGGCTCATTTAACATCTATGTTACTAACAACTGAAGTGATTCACTTAACAACTATAGTAAGAAAGGTTGTAAAATGGGGCCAAACTCATTTAACAACTATCTCGCTTAGCAACATAAATTTTGAGTTCAATTGTGCTTGTACGTCAAGGACTATCTCTATTTAGTATAAAAGATATTAACCCCTCCCGCTCACCCATATGATTCTTTTGACTCAATCCTCATGACCTCTGGACTAAATCAAGAGATTATGCTTTTCCCCTCATGGCGTTAAACTATCTAGGTGATTAATGTTTGTTTACTATATGGAGCTGCCAAAGTCCCACATCCCACCAGGTAAACCATAACCGACTGGTGATCCTGTTGTGAGATTTAACGTGATACAGAAGTTAACATCTTCTTGCCTTGAATCCAAAGGAACTGCCTAGAGATCAGCAGAGATATACCTGTATCACTTATCACTTTTGTTAAGAAGAATGTTTTTGTTAAGAATCAGATGGAAGAACTGCCCTGTCTGACCTGTTGCCTGCGCAGTGGCACCAGAGCACTGGGGCAACCCTCTTGCCAAGCAACATTCTCCACTTGACGTCAATAGGGTGTGGCGTGTGCATTGCCAGTGGCTCAGCCAGCTAGGCAAGTTGGTGGGCTGTCTCAGTTTCCACTAAACCGTAGCTACTATGAATGCAGAGTTTACCCATTAATACCAGCTTTCAGTGACAAGACGTTTATCTGGCTTATCACAATCTCACCCAGCTGCAAGAGAAGTCCACGTACAAAGGGAATATTAATCCCCTGAAATTCAGTGAAGTTGTGGCTGTTTTTACAAGGAATGCTTAACTGCCTTTTGCCCATCTCTAACTTGTTGGGTCAATTTGAAATCTACATAGATTAGAAAGCGTTTTTGTTGATTTAAAAAAACTTCTCCCACATTTCCTAGCCTGACTGCATAGGGCAGTGTGGGCTAAAAGCTTCCTTACGTCACTTGGAAAAACATTCTGCAGTCTTGCCTGTGATGACAGAAGGGGGCAGTGGTACAGCAAAGAATAAACACCAAGTTACTCTCCCAGCTAACAACGTCTATGTCTTCCTATGTCTATGGGGCGAGTTGTGCTAAATCAGGGAAAAGAACACCCCCCCATTTAATCCTACTTCCTGTTTCCCAGCATGTAGGGGGCAGCTAATCTCTCTGGGAAGTCCACAAACCTCACCTCTATTTGGTTTTCAATAGCGTAGATGGCTCTAATTGAATAAAGATCTTCCTCAAGTTCACCTTGCTACCTGGTGACTTCATGGACATATCCAATCATTTTGCTGACAATAATGTAGAAGTGGTTTGAAATTGCCTTCTTTAGGACATTTTGTTCACCTCCACAGTCTTCTGGTCAAACACTAACTAGATCCAATCTTGGTTAGTTCAGAGCAGATGAAAAGTCATTTAATTTGGAATAACTCCATGCTGCCATATATTATAATGCAGTAAGGGTTGCTTTTATGTACATTAAAACTAATTACACAAACCTATCTCTCTGGATTTTGCCTCTTCATATAGATATTTGATTTATCTCTTACAGTGGCACAAATGTCTTCCATATTAAACTACTTCCCTTTTTCTTCTTGAACAATGGGGTGGGACAATATAGGAGTTAGAAATCCAGTATGAACTCAATTCAGATTTGTGACAACATTCATTAGGAAGTAAGACCTCTTGGGGTCATTGGCACTTGCAGTCTCATTAAATAATCATAACATAAGGGTAAATATGCCACTGATTGCATGGGAATGGGACTTAGTTTCAACTTACTGAAATCCCATGATTTCCAGTAAAAAGCATGCCCTAATTCTATATATAGCTAACATAAAATCAGTTTAGTCATACTCCATTGGAATTATTTCCAGGTAAATGTACCTATAATTGCATCCTTGACACTGACAAGTATTGTTGTGTCCCTAACCAAGAAGCCAAATTTGTTGTGGAAAGCAGTGTTGCTTAGTGTGCTGGGAAAACTTTGACTTCAGCATTTGACTGCGAGGGAATCTTACACAGGAGACAGTAGCCTTGTGAGCCACCTTCATCTATGAATTTGGCCATTCCTGATCTATAATGGTGTGTTTGTCACCTTCAAACCCTACCTGATACCCTCCACAGGAATGGCAGGAGGTAGCTGCCCCTATCAAACCATTTATATAGCTCTATTCTTAGCAGGGCAGGGAAAAAGCAGGGTGGTTTACTGCTTTGATGAGCAAACAAACACAAGTGATAAGAAAGGTAGAAAAACATCGTCCTGAGTGAAACTGGCATAGGCCCTGCCAGGGCTCCTCTGGTAATGATTAAACTATCTGCCCAGATTTCCCGGCAAGGTAGGCTGGCATTGACCCAGGTGGCACAATATGCAAATTCCCTAGGCGGGAGTTGAGTACCTGTGCTTGGAATTCCCCTAGAGGCGGAGATCATGTTACAGGAGAGGCGCCCTATAAAGGCCCAACGATGGGGAGGGGCTGAGTTATACTCAGGAGGGGATCACAAATACCAGGGCACAGGTGAGCAGGAGCAACTGAACACTCTCTGCTACTTTTTTAGCCAACAACCGTGTGGATTAACCGCTGCTGCAGCACCTGCCTGGTAGGTACAAAAGGAAGATGGTGTATTTGTTTTGTGAGTGAGCAGAAGGATGGATGTAGAATAGCTGTGTCTGCTCGGTATTCAACACCGTTCTTGTTTGGGATGTTGTGGCAGCATCTGAAGTGCATTTTATTTAGTTCCTTATTTGATGCCTATTTATATATTTATTCCACAAGCTTCAGAGAAGATACTGAATGTATGAGCAGTTCATGAGCTTACCAATGTATCTGATTGCCTGGTGGTGGAACCAAAATGCCTGATCAAAGAAGCTTTTGTCCTGCTCCGGACAGTCAGTTTTTCTGTTTCTGTTTCTATGGACTCAGATGATGCTTTCTGGCTAGCCCCCCGCCCCCCTCCGCATTATCAGTCTCTCTTGATTTCTGGAAATGTACAGGGAGTGGGAGGTAGAGTTTGAACCTTTGCCTGGTAACCCTCCTATGTTTCCCCACTATTTTTTTTGGTGTGTGTGTGTGTGAATGAACAACAGTGATGGAATAGCTGCATAATATCTTTGGATGGTTAGGTTGAGAAGCATCCAGAAAAATATCTACTGTGTTTAGTGTTATACTGTCAAACAATTTGCAATTTTCTGGCAAAGGGGGGATAGGCTGTGGCTGATTTCTCTGGCAATTTTCTTCTATATTTGATATATTTTCTATTTTGCTCTATGGCTGTAAAGGGATAGGGCGCAAGATGAAGGGTGAGAGGGGTTAGCAAGTAATAAATGATAATGCCTGAAAAGTTTAAATTGAAGTGAGCAAAGTTCAAGAAATAATTCATTTCTGAGAAATCAGAACCTTTTCTCAGATAAATGGAGAATTATTTAAATTTGATAAGAGGTTTGTTGAATGTATGCTGTCTGATAACAAAACAGGGACCATGCTTGGAGGTTATTTTTCATGGAATGTGGGCTAAACATTCATATATATATACAGTATATATAAATAAAGGTAGCGGGATCTCTGTCTAGGAAAAATAACTTCAAAATCCAATCCCTGAAAGTTCATATTATTAAAGAACTTTTGAAGTGATAATTGTTTTCCCACCCCTCTTTTACGTTGTTGCTGTCTTAACCAAATTTAAGGAGAGGGATGGAAATGGGATGGACTGCAAGTGTAAAGTTATTTCTGTGGCTTCTCCAAGCAAAAAAGTTAAAACACTGGTAAAATGAGAGTTGGATTTGTTGACAGTTCTCTTCATTTAGAACATCGTCCTTATGTGAGAAGGCTTCGTCTTGGATATTTCTGGAAAGATCTTACCAATTAGGGTAGCTGTTCCGTACTTGGTGATTTCTAAGATTACTGGATTACAATTCCACTCATTTGGAATGGAGTACGATGGGCATGGTGGCCAGTCTTATCTAGAGGGCATTAGTTTGGATGAGACAATGCAAGGGCTTGAAAGGCTGCAGAAAAATATGAAGAACTAGGAGCCAGGAGATACTATTGCAAAACAAAAATATGCAAAATGTTAAAGAAGAAAAAAATGCAGGTGATTCATGTTCCCCCATGCTTATTGTGCTCTCCCTTTTGGTCGAAATCTAACAGTTTCAATTTTCTGACAGAAAATTCCATGGCGGGATCTTGTGAAATCAGCAACCTCATCTCTAATTATATCAGTGCCATGTACCAGCCAGAGGAGGTCCCACCAGACCCTGATCTGCTAACCCACCTCGTCGAAGATGACAACCTATCTCTTGTTCTGAGTAACGCAAACATGGCAACCGAGACAACAGGTAGCTGTCCATAATCTGATGGTGCAAGGCAAATAGGCAATTGAATAAAATTAAAAAGAGGGCATCTTATATCTAGAATGGATTTTGGAATTCTGCTTTATTGGCCTGGGAGCCTAAGTTTCTGTAGCCAATGGATTTCAATGAAATACTTGGGGACTTTGAATAAGCTCTTTAACCATTGCTAGGTTAATGCATTGAAATGCTTTGAACATTTGTCACTTTAAATGTACTCTAATCGGCATACATTAAAATGAAATTTCATTGTATACAGCTCTCAAAGAGTCATATTCTATACAAATTATGATGATGATTTGAAGGGCAACAGGTTGGGGAAGGCTGGCTTAAAACCTTGCAGAGCCAAAAGGCCAGTTGTAATATCTCTATACAGGTAGTCCTCGATTTACGACCACAATTGAGCCCAACATTTATGCTGTTAGCTGAGACATTTGTTAAGTGAGTTTTGCCCCATTTTGCAACCTTTCTTTCATCAGTTGTTAAGTGAATTGCTGCAGTTGATAAATTAGTAACCCGGTTGTTAAGTGAATCTGGCTTCCCCATTGATTTTGCTTGTCAGAAGGTCGCAAAAGGGGATCACATGACCTTGGGACACAGCAATGGTCGTAATTATGAACCAGTTGCCAAGCATTTGAATTTTGATCATAGAGATGCTGCAAAGGCCGTAACTGTGAAAAATGGTCGTAAGTCACTTTTTTCAGTGCCGTTGTAAACTTTGAACGATCACTAAATGAGCTGTTGTAAGTCGAGGACTACCTGTACTGCTTTTCCTACGTGTGAAAAGCTATACACATAGCCTTGTATAAGTCAAGGGCCACTGGAGCACTGAACAGCGCCACCAATACTGTGGCAGTTGATTATGTACTGTATTCTAATGGAGGCATGGCTGGCTGCACAGAGAGCTGAGAAGTTGCTGCCCTAAATGACCTCATTCCAGCTGGGAGGGGCATGTTCAGAGATAAGGGAACAGGTGACAGGTGTACGTGTTAACCCAACCACAGTGACTAAGCAAGATAAATCCTGTGCGTAAATGAACTGGCCGCACCCTGTGCAGCTCAGGCACAGTGTTCCAGGGGCTGGGCTGGCACTAACAAAGCAATCACCTGCTCAACTAAACCCACTCTTCTCCCTCCCTCCCCCTCCCCCGCTTCTCCCTTCTACCATTCTCAGGCAAACCAACATGGTTTGGTGAAATGCCACATAGCTGGAGCAGGTCTCAGGTGCTGGAGTGGATCAGCTATCATGTGGAGAAGAACAAGTATGATGCCAGTGCCATAGATTTCTCTTGCTGCAACATGGATGGCTACACCCTTTGCCAATACACACGGGATCAGCTGGGACTTATCTTTGGGCCCCTTGGGGATGAGTTATACGACCGCCTTCATGAGACTGGTAAGTCTTGGTGTCCCTCTCCTTTCAAGGCAGAAATGCATTGGGATTACCCCCTCTACTGCCCACTTTGTGAGGAAGAAATGCAAAAATTGAGAAAATGAGGTGGGTTGTAAAATTGTAAAAGTGTAAAATTAAATGACAATGTCCACGCCTCATCGTAAATAAAGATTTGCTGAATTATGGGTTCTTAACACATGATTGAACATCACATTAAGCAATAAACCATTCTTTACAAAACATAAAAAATCTCATAATGGATTAGTGTCCTGTATTAAACCAATCTATTTCCCCGAAGCAAGATATTTTTTAGGAAGAGAAGAGGCTGTGAATTTACTCTGGACTAGTAGCGATTGCTACCTTTTCTTATTGGCTTCACCCTGGTGTCTGGCCCTCATCCCCATCCTCAGATATATACAATGAAACCTTTTTCATGATATTCATAGTAGGAGAGAGGGAAACTTCAGGTGCTAAATGAAGTGACAGCAGAGCATTACAATGAAAAGTCCAGAAAGCAGAAATTAGTCATCTACAAGAATACAATGTCTGGTACCTGTCCCCGATTAATCATTATTTATTAGGAGCAAATATAAATTTCCAGAAAAACACTGCCCCTATTTTATTTCACTTCCCTATAAGGAAAACAATGCAAGGAAGAAGTACTTGGTTTCTAATTCAGAAGTAACATATTTTTCTTTCCCACACCCTTATTGTGTCTGTTTCAGATGAACTTGGCTGGATCATGTCAGTGCTGAGGACTGATGATGTATCCCAGGAGGCCCTTCTGGAATCCAGTTCTTTAGGTGAGAGGATAATGAATGGCTGCTCTGTCCTGTAATGGTTCCCTGTTACATCTGTTTACATCTGTTTTTATGAATGTGATTAACCCTTGATTTCTCTCTCTCTCTCTCTTTAGAATTGGGGAACTCATGCAGTCAGGACTATCTGGAGGAAATGAAACTAGCGACCATTTTTTCACAGCCAGATCTTGGCTACATCTCTGGAGCCATGTCCCCAGACAGTTCTGCATCTCTAGCAGGTACTGTATGTTCCCCAAATTGCTAATGTCCTTTGCCTCCTGCAGGGTGTAGCTTAGCTGTCACAGGAAGCCTTTTGGCCTTAATAGATCAAACTTCTCATCAAATTCACTCATATAAACAGATTGCAACCCATTAACCATTTTCTTTATGGGGGTGGGAGGGAATATTTGTACCTAATACCAGAAATATCTAAGTTCTAGAAGGGGAGCAATAGTAAAATATAAGTCTTTTGAATAAATAAATAAATGAATCCTCAGGATCCAGAACATTTGACAATCATGCTTGATTTCCAGAGCTAGTGTCTAGAGTAGAGCTTTCAATTTCTTTTCCTTTCTCCCCAGGGACAATGTCTCAGAGCCCTCAATCTCAGGACTCCGGTGGAAGTGATCTTGATCTTGATCCCATAGACATAAAGCACTGCAATTTTTCTGATGGTGAGTTAAGACTCAAGCTGATCAACAGGATTTCAGATATGCTTGCATAAATGCTTTTGTTGCTAGCTATTTTGCCAGTAGAATGGCTGGCATCTTCAAAGACAAACTAGACAGGAGGAAGACAAAAGGACAGGAAGGGTAGATGATAGAGGATGGCATAAAAACAAATAAAAAGGGAACAAACATGAAGAGAAAAAAATGAATAGAATCATAGATGTCCGACAACTTAATTCTATAAAATGTTAGAGTTGAATATCGGGCCAAAGTAACAGAGTAATCAATGCATATTCAGAGCCTATTCTTTCATTATTGTGTGAGCAGGAATAACATACCATTGCTATAGTTAGATATGAGAAAAGGTTTCCTCATAAATTTTGAGCACTAAGCATTTAAAATCAAAATCAAATTCTGAATATTCCAGAAATATTCTCTTATAATACAAACCCCCTTCAACTAGTCAACAGCAGTAGTCTGTAGTTTTGGGAAATGACTACTACAAATACAATTAGGAGACCAAATCAAATGTTAATAACACTGCTAAAGGAAAAAGGAGTCAGAAGCAATGTAATGAGATGTCACATACATAGATAGAATTGACTTCAGAAATCCAAATAGCCAATAATTGTTCTGCACTTCAAATTAATGCAACTACATATAACTTCTTTGTATCTTTCTCCTATCCCAGCCCCTTTCTTTTAAGTTATAGAAGACTGTAGTTCTAAGGATCTGAGTAAGGGCTATTTGCTTAGTTTTGTTTTTGTGCTTAGAATGAGGCACTGGTGGCCCTTTTTTCTTTGGAGAAAAACAATATGGAGGTCCATAGCTTGCTCCCTTTGGATGGAGAATGGTGGTTTAATTTTAAATGGGAAACTTGCCTAAAGGAGAAAAAAAATATAATTTCCTCATTTGTAACCTGTGAAACATCAAAGACTGTAGCTTTTTATGGAAGGTTTCTGTTTGAAGAGAAAGTTACATATAATTGCTTTCTAGTTGTTCTCATGTTGTCTCTTCCAATTCTGTTCTGTTATAGTTTACTCAGAGTAGGAGAACAATTGACCTGGAAGCTGATCGAGTGCTTTCTGATTTTGGAGGATTCTATTGCAATTCCATTTTAAAGAAATGTAGAGTAGAATTTTTTAAAAAAGCACAAAAACTTAACCAAACTCCTTCCTGTCAGTTAAAGAGAATAGAATAATGGAAACCATGATTGCTAGAGGCAATGACACTTGTCCCATATGTTTATATTATGTGGATGGAAAATGTTGGTTTAAAAAATGATGGTGGCCATCACCATATGATGAAAACCACATCCCTTTTAAATGTGTGACCATCATCTTAACTTTATCCCCTCCCCTCCCCCATTGCTCCTGTCTAGAAATAAGTTATGTTTACATTGTAGCTGAGAGGTTGACTGTGCATAAATGTACACATTCTATTTACCCAAGGGTAAACAAACCAGTTGGCCAGGATGTTATAATAGAGTAAGGGATCAGGACTTGATTTATGCTGGGTACAGGTTCTGGCTCTGGTTTACCATACTGTCTTCTAGGGAACATGCTTGGACTTTCAAGTCCACATATGGTAGTTGTAGGAATGTAAAATATTGGGGCAAAAAGTTTTCAAGTGCATCTTTTTTTCCCCCCCTACATGGCGCTGTCCAGAATATAAGAAAGAAGATCTCAAGAAAAGGAAAAGGGGACGACCAAGGAAGATCAGCAAAGACAGCAGAGACTGCCTGGAGACTAAAAAAAACAAACACTGTAAGTGGATATCATACAATACATGAGCAGGATTTCATGATATCTGGCTAGTGAATGCAATCCAAATTTGTCCATGCCCTTCTTGCTCAGAATATAGCTGTTTGGTGCAATAAGAAGATGATATTTAAAATCTTGCTATCTTGCTTGACTTACATATGTTGGCCTGCCAACTTTAGGTTCCGAGGCGGCTCACTTATTTGGTCCATTAAGATAGATGCAGAAACATAATAACTTTACTGATGAACATATGTTTGCCAGATATGCCAGAGCGGGACAGGGAATTTAAACACTGATCAACTGCACAATGCTTGAATTATGTCATTTTGCATTATAGTTCCTTGTCTTCCAAACTGGTTAAAAGCATCTCAGTTATCTGATTACTATTTGTCTCCTTGGAGGTATAGAGGTTTCTCAGACACATACTTTCCATTTTCTTATGCAATGATTCCATACCATTTCATTGAGGGCCGCATCAGGGTTGTGTTTGATCTCGGGGGGCCGGGTGGGCGTGGCTGGGGTGGGCGTGGCCAGCTCAACATCACTTGTGTCGGGGGCGCCTGTGGTAGCCCGAGCACTCGGCTAACGAAAACTGGTCCTGAGCTCTGTTTTCGTTGGCAGAGGGTTGCAGGAGGTTGTTGCAGCCAAAAACAGAGCCCAGGAGTCTGTTTTCACTGGCAGAGGCACTGGAGGCCAGTCCTTCACTGTTTCCAGGGCAGCCCTGTGGGCCAGATCTAAGCAACCTGTAGGCCGGATCTGGCCCCCGGGCCTTGAGTTTGATACCACTGCCCTAGTGCCTAATCTTTTATGCCCAGTTTGGAAACCTTTCCTGCTTGCAGTGTCATTTGGACAGACAAATGATTTACCTGTCTTGTTTCCTTTTTCATAATCAGCACCAAGAGGGATCCACCTGTGGGAATTTATTCGGGACATCCTAATTCATCCTGAGCTAAATGAGGGTTTGCTGAAGTGGGAAGACCGTCGAGAAGGCATTTTCAAATTCCTGAGATCAGAGGCTGTAGCTCAGCTCTGGGGACAAAAGAAAAAAAATAGTAGCATGACCTATGAGAAACTCAGCCGGGCCATGAGGTATCTATCATTATTTTTTTATATACTGATCAATAATCTTCATAATTGTAAAAAGGTCATGTCACTCTGCAAAGGACACAGTAATTATATTAAAAAATTAAAAGAGAATCACAAGAAATTAAAAGCAAACAATTTCCTAAAACTCAAAGATCAATAACTCATTAACATTTTGTTAAAAGGTCTACCAAAATAGTCCTCAACACAATTGAGCCCAAAATTTCTGTTGCTAAGCAAGACAGTTCTTAAGTTAATTCCCCACCCCCCATTTTACGACCTTTCTTGCCACATTTGTTAAATGAATCACTGCAGTTGTTAAGTTGATAACATAGTTGTTAAGTGAATCTGGCGCCCCCAGTGATTTTGCTTGTCAGAAAGTCCCGAAAGGTGATCACATGATCTTAGGACATTGTAAGCATCATAAATATGAATCAGTGGCCAAGCACCTGAATTTTGATCACATGATCATGGGAATACTGCAACAGTCATAAGTGTGAAAAATAATTAAGTCACTTTTTTTCAGTGCCGTTGTAATTTTAAATGTTCATTAAATGAATTGTTGTAAGTGGAGGACTACCTGTAATATGGTCTGCCTGAGGAAAAAACATCAACAAAGTTGCCAAAAATAAGCACTGCAATTCTTAGTAAGGATATAAAATGAAGAGGTAACAGGGTGAACATATGAGCAGATGCTGTTGTGGTGGGACTCTCTTTGATTATAGCTATTCAGATCCTCAAAATGGGGTGGAAAGCTACATCTTAGATCAGCTGAGCACATCTATTACCATTTTAAAAAAATAAATCCAAACTTTGGGGAAAGGGACAGAAATCGAGGTCCTATGTTCTCTGCTGGTGTAATTACAGCAGTGTCTCAGTCACTTACCCCTCCCCAGCCAAAACGAAAGAAAATAAGTCTGGTCACCAAAAATTGCAATTTATGCAATAATACGTTCCAAACCTTCGTATTATGGAAACCTGACTCAAATCTACATCCGTCATGAAACATTTAAAAATATTTGGCCTTGATTTTTTTTGGAGGGGGCTCTTCTTTAAAAGCATTTACAATCTCTTCTCTCAGGTATTACTACAAACGGGAAATTCTGGAACGTGTGGATGGCCGGAGACTTGTGTACAAGTTTGGGAAAAACTCCAGTGGTTGGAAGGAGGAAGAGGTGCAAGACCAGAGCTAAACACCTACAAGAGCCTCATGTGGACTTGAAGTGGCCCACTCTTTCTTGGAGGCCCACCTCTGAGGATAATGGGTTGTCACGGGCCCAGAACTATTAAACTGCTATCTGAAGCAGTGTGTTAAAACTCCAGCCCTACATGGGGCAAAGCGTGTATGCTGGCTCCCAGAAGGGAGTTCAACCAATTACAGCTGATATTTTGGCTCAAGTAGGTTATTGTGAACCGTTATTATTTTGTTGCAATTGGAATTTGGCAGCCTCCAACTCTGAATTAGGATTACAATGCCTTCGGCTGTCTAAGACTGTGCGCAAAGCTCATTGAGGCAGAAGGAACATGCTGTTCTTGGCTATTCCTGGAGGGCCATTCCCAAAACATCAAGTAATCTGCAGATTGAAGGTGAATGCTGTGGTCAGCTATTTGCGGGAAACTGAGATGCTGTTCTGACACTGTTCTACCATAACCTAGGAATGCTGATAAGCCTAATAGACACTTTGGAGAGTCAGGTGGACATGTAGCTTCCCATCCAGCAACTGATTGTTTACCAGCAAATGCTCCTGTTTAACAGGCAGAAAATTGACAACAGTAAACCTGAGATCATTATGGATTTCACATCAATCCTAAGAGCAAGGTTTAGTAGTCACAGATCTGACTCTTCGCCAGTTGATTGAGTACATGTGTGTCTAGAAAGGAAGAACATTTTCCCTAGAAAGTGCTACAACTTTCTCTATGAATAGCTTCTTCTTGCTCTTAATTTATATGTTATATATATATATATATATATATGTTTATATAATGTACATAGATATCTATTTTTTTTCATAACTAAGTTTGTGTGATTTTATCAGGAAGCCCTGGGCTTTTTTTAAAAAAATTGATGATTATTGTTGCTAATATTCAGCTGGGCTGAACAAATAAAAAATCTTTATTTTGAAATCAAAAAGAGTTTGTAAGATGTTTGCATCTGTTCATTGGTGTCCACAGGAGAGCCCTGTGTGATGTACAGGCCTCCTGCTTTTCAATAATAATTAACCAATAAATCATTGGTTTTTAATTCTTGTGTGCTGCTTGATAATTGATATAAGTGCATCACCGGGGGAGCAGTGAAGAACTGAGGTTGGATTTTGGGGAGGGAATAGAATAGAAAGGAAAAGGAAAACCTATTTTTACTATTGACAGTTAAGAAAGATGTCCACTTAAGGATTCTTTATTTCTTTGGATATCCTAGAATACCCTTTCTTAACCTGAGGAAGTTTCATCAAACATAAACAATGATCAATTTACTTGGGAACTATGGGCATTATAGTCCAACATAGCTGGAAGGCATCACTTTGAGAAAAGTTAGTTCTGTAGAGAGACACATTCATATTGCAATAATTAATTTTTGTTTTCTGAATAAAGTATACAATAAGGTAAACAATTCAGGTTCCATTAACTTTCAGTTTGGTTTCCAATGACCTAATTCTTTTCCCCAGTGTCACAACAAACAGTATCGATAGTCCATTCAGAAACAATATGAAAGGATTCTTCTGTATGGGAGAAATCTTTAGCCCTCTTCTAAAATTATATCCAAAGAGACTTTTTGATATATAATAATACAAGTCAGCTATACAGAACTTGGCACACAGAAGCTTCCAGGTGCAGTTATTCTTTCTAGTTAAAAAAAGGCAAACAAACTTGAAAAGACCCTTTCTGAAAAGATGTTGTCCATCAAAACAGAGAAACTGTGGTTCCATATAAAGGAGCTTTATATGCTCTTCATTAGAATAAAAATGTAGCTGCCCTAAAACTGGGATATGGGTAAAGCCATGCTCATTTTTAAAAATCCATTTTGGATCAAAATATTCGTCTTCCGCAGATTATAAAGCAATCTACCCAAACAATTTCTGGCTAAAAGCTAAAGGATCTTTCTGATTCTGTCTCTCCTCATAGTCTCTGACTAAAATCTCTCACAGTAATCTTTAAGAAGTCTTGAAGTAGAGGGAAAGTGCCAGAAGACTGAAGAAGAGCTAACATTGTTTCATTATTTTCTTTATAAAAAAAAAGAAGGGGGGAATAAGCCCAGTGCTTTTCAACATTTAAAAAACTTACTTAGATGAGGGAATAGAAAGGACGCTCATCAGATATGCAGATGATACAAAGTGAGGGAGACTGATAATATGTCAGAAGATAGACCCAAGCTTCAAAAGGATCTTTTAATGTTTGTAGACTTGAACATTAGGCCCTTGTTCATTGGTGTTCCAAAAACTGAGTATGTTTAGCCTAAGTTCGTTTCTGCACTTTGGTAGGAAAACTGGAAGCAGTGGCACAAAATAGGCAATAATTGGCTTAGCAGTGATAGTCATGAGCGGGAATTGCATGTCGTGATAGGCCACAGATAAGAGGATGCAGCCACCAAAAGAGCCAATGCAATCTTTGGCTGCATCAATAGAGGACCAATGTTGAGATCCCAGAAAGCAATAGATCTGCTTTTTGATGCACTGGTCACTTATATTGGACCTGGAACACTGTATTCAACTTTGGTTGCCACAAAAGAAAGAAGAATGCTGAGGCCCTGGAAAGAGTGCAGAAAAGAGCTACAATGATGGTGAGCGGCTTAAAGGCTAAATCCTATGAAAAAACAATTAGAAGAGCTATTTAGTCTAAAGAAGAGAAGAGTAATGGGCCACATGATAGCAATCTTCCAATATTGAAAGACTACCAGAGGGAGGTAGTACAGATTTCATTTATTTCATTTAATTTAATGTACTCAATTTGTTATGGCTAGCCAGTCTGTAAGACTCTGGGTAAAATTCAAGAAACAATTAAAGCAGTGAAAACACACCAGCAGCCCAGATTAAAACAATCAGAACGATAAACTACAAATATGGCAGGAGCCCCACACTGCATAACAAACATATTAACTCTCCAGCCTGGGAAGAGAGCCAGGTCTTAAGGGCTTTCCAGAGCCTGGGTTGAGTGGGTGGGGTAGGGGCATAGTCTGTATGGGAGAGGGGCTAACACTCTTCCCAGAGCTTCAGGCTAGGCTCGGAAGTCAGAAAATCACTCCCAAAGAAGGATTGGCAAACTGATTCTACAGGGCTTGATTAGCAGCTACAAACAGACACAGATGAAACTGTCAAAGTCTCCCTATACCCAGTTAGCATTGATTGAGCAGGATTTATGAGCCAGGTTAGCAAGAGCTGTAAGTCTTTTTTGCAGGATTTTTAAAAAAATATTTTTTATTTTAAATACAAATAATACAAACATAGTACATATAAATCTAAATTTAAAAAAGGAAAAAAAATACAAATATTACAGTGCACCCCACCAGGAGACCATTTTTTCCCTTATATTTCTTATTCTTATAACAACTAAAAGATATACAATATATTCCAATTGTGCCCTTATCCCCTCCAAAAAAACATATATTCTTGAGTAGGTTTATTCCCTTTGCCTTCCACCAACACTGTTTTTATAAAATCCACCCATATTTCATTATAATTGTTTGCTTTAATCATCCCTTTTTAAAATTTAGTTTCTGTTGTTAATTTATCATTTGTTGCCATACTCCAAATTTCATTATACCGCTCATTTCTTTGAATATTCCAATTTTGTCCCCAATATTTAGCCATCACTAATCTAGCTGCCATTATCAAATTTACAATCAATTCCTTTTTTGTTTTATTAATATCCTGTTTTTCCACCAGCAACAATAATGACACATCTAAATTTGCATTCAAAAGTGCTCTAATTTCTCTAAACACCATGTTCTATGTTTGCAGAATGATTTCAGAGCTGAATCCTCTCCTTCTACACATAGACTGTGGTTTCCATTCTTTCTGAGCTTCCCTTTCTGAGTAAACTATTCTTCCAGAGACCAGATTTGGGAAAGGGCAGCCCTGTTATAATTAATGTGTGGCACACCTTTTCCTATTCCCAACAATGTAAAGTAGGCCAGATTCGAAAGTGACTAGTCCAAAGTCATATTCAGAGAATGTTATGATGGGGCAGCGTTTTTAATCAGGCCAGACTTTGTTCAATACTCAGTTAAGCAAATCACACAGCGACCATGCAATTTGTGTTCAACTCTTATGCAAGGCTAGGAAAATGCAATCTGAGTTTGTTCAGTCCAGTCCAGTATAAGTATTGTATTGTATTGTAGAAGGAAACCCAGGGAATTAAGCAGTGAAAGGATCTTACCAGAACAACCAGAGGCCCTTTAATGGAAGAAAATATTATGCAATCTCAATCAATGGTTCTGGCTCTGGATTTTCTCAGAAGCAGGGGAGAATATGTCCCCATACTTTATAGAGTTGTTAGTCTATTTGAAGGGCTACAAAAGGACAGTCCTTTCTTTGAAGATGGTTCTTTGTTCCACTGGCTGTCGCTTCTCAGTCCATTTAAGCATCAAATGCTGCAAGAAAGGGGAACATTATACAAAACGTCTTATCACTAGTATATTAGCCAGTTTTGACTGCTAAAATGAACAGTTTTACTACTATACGTAGTAATGTTTTACCTGTAATTGACTTTTTTTGTTTTAATCGCAATAATATGCGTGCTTACAACTGCTTTAAACTCAGTGTAAATTGTTCTAAAATTGACTGTAAAAATATGATTTCTGCAATAGAGTTATCAAAGTCTGGAATGCTCTACCTGAGTCAGTTGTTTCAGCTACAAATTTTCACAGTTTCAGTCACAAATTGACTTCTGTGGACCTTACATCATACTTAAGAGGTCAGTAGAGGGGGCGTGCATAAGTGCACTACTGTGCCTATCGTCCCTGTCATTGTATTTTTATTCTTTTATTCTTGTTCTCATTTTTGTTTGACAAATTCTAATAAATAAATAAAGTTCTTTCTCTAAGAATTATGATAATGTAATGAGCAAGTGGAATCTTCTTAAACATTTGGTAGTGATCTTGTAAAATTCAACATTACTAGAATGAAACAAAATTTAAAAGCTAAATACCCATTTCAACCTACAACTTATTAAACTTTACTAAACCACACAGCTCTTGAAAATCTAGTCTACAAAGTTAGCTTTGTATATACTAACTGTCACAAGGATGTTATATCCTTCTTCCTGGAAAAGTTGTTTGATTTCTTCCTCAGAAGTATGGTT